AACCACCTCAGCTGACTCCTTTCGACGCGAAGGAGTAGCGGCTCGACTCCAAGCTCCCTCCTGATGACCGAGCTCCTTACCCTATCTCTAAGGCTGAGCCCGGCCACCCAACAGAGGAAACTCATTTTGGCCGCTTGTAGCCGCGACCTTGTCCTTTTGGTCACGACCCAGAGTTCGTGACCATAGGTGAGGGTAGGAACGTAGACCGAGTGGTAAATTGAGAGCTTTTCCTTCCGGCTCAGCTCCCTCTTCACCAAGACGGTCTGGTGCAGCACCTGCTTTACTGCTGCAGCCGCACTGATCCACCTGTCGATCTCCCGCTCCATCTTACCCTCACTCGTGAACAAGACCCCGAGATACTTAAACTCCTTCGCTTGAGGTAGGCACTCAGTCCCCACCTGGAGGGAGCAATACACCGGTTTCCGGCAGAGAACCATGGCTTCAGATTTGGAGGTGCTAACTCTCATCCCCGCCGCTTCACACTCGGCTGCAAACCGCCCCAGTGAATGCTGGAGGTCATGATCCGAGGAGGCTAACAGGACCACATCATATGCAAACAGCAGAGAGGCGATCCCGAGACCCCCGAAACTGACGTTCTCCGCCCCCAGGCTGCGCCTAGATATCCTGTCCATGAAAATCATGAACAGGGCCGGTGACAAAGGGCAGCCCTGGCGGAGGCCAACACCCACCGGGAACGTGTCTGACTTATTGCCGAGAATGTGGACACAGCTCCTACTGCAGTCGTACAGAGACCGGATCGCCCATTGTAACGGGTCTGGCACCCCATACTCCCCCAGCACCCCCCACAAGACCCCCCGAGGGACCCGGTCGAAAGCCTTCTCCAAGTCCACAAAGCACATGTAGACTGGTTGGGCAAACTCCCAGAGCCCCTCCAGTAGTCTTGCGAGGGTAAAGAGCTGGTCCACTGTTCCACGGCCGGGACGGAATCCACACTGCTCCTCTTGAATCTGAGGTTCGACAAGCGGTCGGAGCCTCCTTTCAAGCACCCTGGCATAAGCCTTCCCCGGGAGGCTGAGTAGTGTGATACCCCGGTAATTCGAGCACACTCTCCGGTCCCCCTTTTTGAAGATGGGAACCACCACCCCGGTCTGCCATTCCATGGGCACTGATCCCGACCCCCATGCGACATTGAAGAGGCGTGTCAGCCAGGACAGCCCAACTATGTCCAGCGCCTTCAGCATCTCAGGGCGGATCTCATCCACCCCCGGCACCTTGCCACCAAGGAGCTTTTTAACTACCTCAGCAACCTCTGCCAGGGATATGGGTGAGCCTCCCCCTAGGTCCTCAGGCGCTGCCTCCTCTGCAGAGGACATGTTGGTCGGGTTTTGGAGTTCCTCAAAGTGCTCTTTCCCCTGCCCAACGATGTCCTCCGTCCGGGTTAGCAGTTCCCCCCCCCCTGCTGACAACAGCCTGGGGTAAGCCCTGCTTTCCCTTCCTGAGCCGTCGGATGGTTTGCCAGAACCTCCTTGAGGCCAACCCAAAGTCCTTCTCCATGGCCTCCACAAACTCCTCCCATGCCCGAGTTTTAGCATTCGCGACCACCGCAGCTGCAGCCCTTCTGGCCTGCCAGTACCTGTCAGCTGCTTCAGGAGACCCCTGGGCCAACCAGGCCTTGAAGGTCTCCTTCAGCTTGACGGCTTCCCTCACCGGTGTCCACCACCGGGTTCTCGGGTTGCCGCCACGACAGGCACCGATGAGCTTCTGGCCACAGCTCCTAGCAGCCGTGTCCACAATAGAGGTTTTGAACATGGTCCACTCGGATTCCGTGTCCCCAACCTCCCTCGAGATGTGTAAGAAGTTCTTCCGGAGGTGGGAGTTAAAGACCTCCCAGACAGGGTCCTCCGCCAGACATTCCCAGTTTATCCTCCCTACACGTTTGGGTTTGCCGGGTCTCTCCAACCGGTTCCCCTGCCATCTGATCCAACTCACCACCAGGTGGTTATCAGTTGACAGCTCTGCTCCTCTCTTCACCCGAGTGTCCAAGACATACGGCTGCAAATCAAATGATTCGATTACAAAGTCGATCATTGATCTCCGGCCTAAGGTGTTCTGGTACCAGGTACACTTATGAGCCACCTTATGTTCAAACATAGTGTTCGTTATGGCCAAACCGTGGCAAGCACAGAAGTCCAATAACGAAACACCATTCGGGTTCAGATCGGCAAGCCGTTCCTCACAATCACCCCCCGCCAGGTTTCTCCGTCATTGCCCACGTGAGCGTTGAAGTCCCCCAGGAGAACTATGGAGTCGGTAGTCTGCGCCCTTTCCAGGACCCCTCCCACCGACTCCAAGAAGGCCGGATATTCCGAACTGCTGTTTGGTGCATAAGCACAAACCACAGTCAGAGCCTTGCTCTCCGCAACCCATAGGCGCATGGAGGCGACCCTCTCGTTCTCCGGGGAGAACTCCAACACAGCAGCGCTCAGCCGGGGGCTCGTGAGTATCCCCACTCCCGCCCGGTGCCTCTCACCCTGTGCAACTCCAGAAAAGGACAAAGTCCAACCCCTCTCCACGAGCTTGGTTCCAGAGCCAACGCTGTGTGTGGAGGTGAGTCCAACTATTTCTAGCTGGTATTGCTCCACCTCCTGCACCAGCTCCGGCTCTTTCCCCACTAGCGAGGTGATGTTCCACATCCCTAGAGCAAGTCTATGCCGCCGGCGATTGGCATGCCCAGGCCTCCTGCCCGACCCGCCGCCCAGTCTGCATAGCACCCGACCCCGATGCTTGTCCCCGCGGGTGGTGGGTCCACAGGGTGGCTGCTCCATGGTGTTTATTCGGGCTGAGCACGACCGGGCCCCATGGGCAAAGGCCCGGCCACCAGACACTCGCCTGTCACGGGGCATGGTGAGGACTCAAACGCAGACAGTCAGGTGTAATGAAAAAAGGTTTTAATGATAACCAAAAACAAACAGGGAATCCAGGGACAAGACAAAAGACGAGGGGGAAAATCCGGCAGGAAAAGGCAGAACAGGCAGACTGGGGAGACTGAGGGTCCGGGGGATGGAGCTCTGGAAGCTGGGGGTCAGGAGGACGGAACTCTGGAGGCTGGGGGTCAGGAGGACGGAACTCTGGAGGCTGGGGGTCAGGGGGGGGACGGAACTCGAGAGACTGGGGACCAGGAGGGGAACTGCACTCGAGAGAATGGGGACCAGGAGGGGAACTGCACTCGAGAGAATGGGGACCAGGAGGGGAACTGCACTCGAGAGAATGGGGACCAGGAGGGGAACTGCACTCGAGGGGCTGGGGACCAGGAGGGGAACTGCACTCGAGGGGCTGGTGATCAGATGGGGAACTGCACTCGAGGGGCTGGTGATCAGACGGGGAACAGGTCTTCAGGGGCTGGAGATTAGACGGGGAACAGGTCTCCAGGGGCTGGAGATCAGACGGGGAACAGGTCTCCAGGGGCTGGAGATCAGACGGGGAACAGGTCTCCAGGGGCTGGAGATGGGGCTCCGGGCAACCAGAGTCCATAGACTGGGGCTCAAGGGAATAAACTGATGACCCAGCGGGGCAAAGGGCTGGAGGTCGTTGCAGCACGGAGGCAGCAGCGGCCGGGACTGGAGATCGCTGCTGTTCGGAGACGGCGTTGGCCGGAGGTTGTTGCAGCGCGGAGGCGGCGGCCGGGACTGGAGGGCGCTGCGGTCCGGAGACGGCGGCGGCCAGGACGGGAGGTCGCTGCGGTCCGGAGACGGCGGCGGCCAGGACGGGAGGTCGCTGCGATCCGGAGACGGCCGGGACGGGAGGTCGCTGCTGCTCCGAGGTGGCGGCGGCCGGGACTGGAGGTAGCTGCTGCTCCGAGGTGGGGGCGGCCGGGTCCGGGGATAGCTGCTGCTCCGAGGCAACAGCTGGAGTCGGCTGGATCGCCGACCGGACACAGGGAGCTGGAGTCGGTCGAACCACCGACCTGACACGGGGAGCTGGAGTCGGCTGCGGCCCAGCGGGAGTGGGGGATAACTGCGGCCCAGCGGGAGAGGGAGTCTGGCCCTTCCTCTGCCTCTGTCTCCTTCAAGGTTTGACCGGGATGTCCATTAGGTCACGGTCTGCCTTCTGGACACTTCGATGTTCTCCAAAGGCCAGACGGGTTCCCATGAACTGTTCATACCAGTCGGGGAGACGACACTCCATACCGTGGTCTGCTGAGTCCATCTTGGGCCAGATCATTCTGTCACGGGCATGGTGAGGACTCAAACGCAGACAGTCAGGTGTAATGAAAAAAGGTTTTAATGATAACCAAAAACAAACAGGGAATCCAGGGACAAGACAAAAGACGAGGGGGAAAATCCGGCAGGAAAAGGCAGAAAAGGCAGACTGGAAAACCGGGAACAGGACGAGCAAAACGGGCGGGTAGGTCGGAAAACAAACAATGATCTGGCAGTGGGTGTGTGTGCAGCAGGGGTTTAAATAGTGAAGGAGGCAGAGTGAGCAGGTGAGAGTAATGAGCTGAGTGTGACTGGCAGGTGCACTGAATGAACTGATTAGGTGAGTGAGGAGCTACAGAAAAAAACAAAGACACAGAACACACAGGGCAAAGCCTGATCGTGACACTCGCTTACGAGCTCCCCTCCTGGGTCTGGCTCCGGGAGGGTGCCCCGGTTTCCCTGGTCCGGGCGAGGTGGCTAAAGTCCGTGGGCTAACTATCATAGGGGTCGTTTTGAACCGCTCTTAGTCTGGCTCTCCCCTGAAACCTGTTTGCCTTGGGAGACCCTACCAGGGTCTATTAGCAATCATAAGTAAAATATTCTAATGAGCCTATGTACAGGGAGAACCAAATCTAAATGGCTTGTTGAATCGCATGTTTCCACAAAAAAACTGACTGGGTTGTCTGATTTCACAGTTTGTTGGTTAGTATGCATTCCACATACCCAAATGTACAGCGTGTGCGCAAGGACTGACCAAATGAGTTCTTTAATGATGTCTCCCCTTTAAATGTTGACTCAAAACTTGTGGCCAAGATTCAAACCGACTTCTTTACCCTCTGTCGAGGGGAAACTTTGCCCCCTTTCCTCCTCCCTTTTTATTTGCCATTACTATTGGACTATTGGATTAAAGGACAGGACAGGGTTGGTCCACTGCCATGGCCAGTCCTTACACAACTTCACTGTTAGTCAGGTTGCATGTTGCTAGTTGTGGCGGTCATGTGGGGTGAAGGTGGTGAAAATAGTTACTACTTAATGTGCAATAAGAAAAGAATGGTTCAATGAAATATGTCACTGTTTATTCACGTTTCCCTCCACAAACCACTGAAAACCACATGTTTACAAATTGGTCTACATCTTTATTTGATCACTACATATGTTAGTTTGATTCAGCCAGAGAGGTTTTGAAATGTGGTAATCCATGTAAAGTGTTTCGGGGAAGTGCTGTGGACACAAGGTGGTTAAATATTACCACGTTTTCGGTGTTATGTAACAGTGTGAAAAACAGGCCCGCTGACTGCACACTGGTCAGATGTTGTTCAGGGGAGGGGTCTCTCCTTTTGTATAAGTCTGGCCGACCATCAACCTGGTTCTCACAGTTTAGTCATGATGGTGAAGCTGGGGATTTTGGTAGCCATTGCGGTGTTTCTGGAGACGGTCTCTGCGACCTCCGTGTGTTTTTCTAGTGTATCTAGTGTATTCAAGTGTGTTTAAGTGCTCTGTTTAGTTTCTGCAAAAGGCTGTTTAGTGTGAAAAGAGTGCTATACTATATACAGTATAATTTAGCTTCTGAAGAAAGTATAATTATTTGTTCATTTTTCAACCATCAAACTGATAGATTATGTTATATTGGGTAGAAAGTCTTCATACGTTTGTGTCACAAGATATTTCTAACCTAGTTATTTGTAATTCGCATTCTTTAAATTGCTGTTACATGACTGATTTTTTTTTTTACAAATCATGCCAAAAGAAATGGATAATTCAAATCTAAATGGAGCATGCCACACGTGATTTGGTGTAGTTCCGAGTGAAATACTTTGGTAAATGAAGATGTTTGTGTTTAACTTCTGTAGCTCGGTGTGGTGTACACAGAGGGAGGTATGGTGCAGGGCGAGAACATTCGTCTTGGGTTCCGCCGTCGCATGGACGTCTTCAGGGGGATTCCCTTCGCTGACATCCCTGGAAGGTTTGAGAAACCAAAGCGTCACCCAGGCTGGGACGGTGGGTAGACTGACAGGACTTCTCACCCACTGGACTTCACACCAATAACTCGCGTGATAAATTCACTCCACAAAGATATGTGTGCTCCTTTAGCAATCATAGCCGGAACTCCCGGCAGCCAATTCTGCCACTGTTTCTCTTTTAGCTTGAATCAAATGTATTGGAAAATGTTTTCTCTTCTAGCTGTCGGGGTAGATGAGCCTAAACTGTTGATGTATGCCTTACTCTGCTCTTACACCGTATGTGTCTCTCGTCAGGTGTTCTGGAGGCCACCGAGTACAAAAAGAGATGCATTCAGCTGAAATTCATGAAGAGGATGACCGATACCAGAGGCAGTGAGGACTGTCTTTACCTGAACATCTGGGTTCCTCAGGGATGCTCAGGTAAAGACTGAGAGAAGTCCACAGAGTGTCATCCAGATAAGATCCACACTACTACTGGCTCACATTTTCTCTCTCTTCTAGTGTCCACTGGTCTGCCCACTATGGTCTGGATCTACGGGGGAGGCTTCCTTGCTGGAAGCTCGATGGGTGTCGGCTTCCTGGGCCACTATCTGTACAGCGGGCAGGAGATTGCAGACCGAGGAAATGTTATTGTGGTGACGCTGGGATACCGCGTGGGCACCATGGGCTTCCTGAGCACCGGAGAATCTGACTTACCTGGTAGGAGCTGGTTTCTTTTCTCACTAATGTGACAGAATTATAGAAGACGTTGGCTTCCCCGCCAATTTTATGTATTGCACCATTAAAATCAAAGTTCCTTGATTGAGAGAAAAATGTGATACTCGACAGGAAACTATGGTCTGTGGGACCAGCACGCTGCCATCGCCTGGGTGAACAGGAACATCCGCTCGTTCGGAGGAGACCCCGACAACATCACCGTCTTTGGAGAGTCTGCAGGCGGAGTTAGTGTCAGCTTCCAGGTGAGAAGATTTTTTCTTGTTATTATGGGTGTAGATAGATGATGGATTTGAAATTGAAATGAAATTCACAGTTTGTAAATTTGAATCTAACTTTGTTCAAAAAATAACCAAAAACATTGTGAAATATGTCTTATGACTGCCCACAGACTCTCACTCCCCACAACAAAGGGCTGTTCAAGAGAGCCATCTCCCAGAGCGGCGACGCCACTTGCTCGTGGGCTATCAACAGGAACCCCCGCAGGTTCGCTGAGGAGGTGTGCAACGGCTACTCTTGACTTGTTTAAATTTTTGCTGTGCAACACTTTTGTGGAATGGTTAGCGCGGTATGAGTTCAGGGCCGGTAGACAACTCAAGCAAATTTAAACCCTCTCCCCAGGTTGCTCTGAAGGTCGGCTGCCCCACCGATCAGACTATGGCTTCCTGTTTGAAGATGACTGATCCTGTGAAGCTTACGCTGGCTGGCTCTATCAATATTACCAGCTCACCCGATAGTAGGGACTGCACTCCATACAGTCTACTTGACATTTTCATTTCAATCACTGTTGTACTTTGTACCACAACAATGGAGACATTAAAAAGTCAGCCCCCTTCTTCTGCAATAGTGTAATGGTACTCCACTGGAGAAACTGCGAACTACATATTTATTGTATTAAATTTATCTTGATGCATCCAACTCATAATGCTCACATAACAGTAATAAATGGCAATAATTAGCATTTTCTTTTTGCTGATTTTCCGGAAATTAATTTCAAATGTGCTCTGAATTTGAACGGGAACTTTGCCCCAACACACCGAGCAGACCTCCAACGGCTAGTGGCCTAATGTCTTCTAAAATGTGCACTTATACACACAGCAAAGACTACATCCAATGGCTAACTGACCACCAAGATGCGGGCAAATTCTACCGTGCACACCAGTGTCAAATTTCGAAAGCTGCCCATACTATGCTGGCTGTTTGACGCCACTAATATCTTTTATTCAGACTAGCAATTTTGAGATGTCGATTGGCGCTTCCATTCCTTTCATATCAAGAGTTTAGGTTTATAAACGTATTTGAAGCATAACAACAGCAGATCTAGCAAATGGGAAATTAGAAATTACAGTTATATATAAAACCTACAGTTAGAGCTGTATATGGTAGGTCTCTCACTGTATCTGCCTCTGTCAGACCCCAATGTCTTCAACCTGGTCCTGTCTCCTGTGATCGACGGCGACTTCGTGCCGGATGAGCCTTCCAACTTGTTCCAAAATGCGGCTGAGATCGACTACATCGCTGGAATCAACGACATGGACGGACACCTCTTCACTGCCATCGATGTTCCTTCAATCAACCGCCCCCTGGTGGAAACCCCTATGTGAGTTTAAGACATGTGATCACCGCGTGAAACATTGACAATTCTACAACGGGTCTACCCGAAGCAGAGTGCTGTACTTTTGTTAGAGTTGTGGTGCTGTGGTGTTTTATCAGACCTAATTTTCAAACCTTCCTGATCTCAGCGAGGACATGAAGAGGCTCCTGGCTTCGTACACTAAGAAGGGCAAGGCTGCTGCCGACCTTGCGTACTCCACATACACCTCAACCTGGGGCCCAAACCCCAGCAAGGAGACCATCAAGAAAACTATTGTGGAAATTGGAACAGACTTCATCTTCCTGGTTCCTACTCAGACCGCCCTCTACCTTCATGCTGCCAACGCCACGTGAGGATAAGATCTTGCTGTACAGATGTCGCTGTCAGTTTATTGATAAGCCCTTTTGTTCAACACCTTGCTTTTGAAGCTGGGGAATAAAAACCACTGCTTAACCTTTTTTTTTTTCATCTTAAGGGTGGCCATTGAAAATCAATTTAAAGAGGCCTTAAACTGGCCTATGAGTGATTCATCAAAGGGAAAATATTTATTACCTTTGCTAATTTGAGTGAAAAGTTCCTTTAATTTCCTTCAGGTGTTTTTAATCTCAAGTTTCAAAGACAGGTTTCTGTTTTAGGTATGGATGAAATTCAACCACGCTGTAAAGCAGTAGGCAAAAGTAATGGAGATGTGACAGATTGATACATTAATTAAAGGTCCAGCGTGTAGGATTTAGCAGGATCTATTATCAGAAATGGAATACAGTATTCATAACTATGTTTTTAGTAGTGTATAATCACCTGAAACAGTAGCCCAGAACGGACAAACCAAACACTGGCTCTAGAGAGGGCCTTTCACATTAATACGTTACCTGAAGGATGCGTTATAAACAAACAGGACTTTTGTCCAGGACTCCGCTGTTTGTGTCCTACTAGACATCTGTCATTATAAGCAGACTTCTGAGAACCTGCAGAAGAATTCAGCTTTGAGAGTGCTAAATTTGATATTTATTTTTGTAGCCCCCACCTTGGTGTAGTCATTGTCACATCCCTATTCTTTTCTTTTCTCACCGAAGAACCGGTCGCACCTACTCCTACCTATTCTCTGAGCCCAGACGTCTGAGCGGCATTGTCAAGTCCAGCTGGATGGGAGCCGACCATGCCGATGACCTGCAGTACGTGTTCGGAAAGCCTTTCAGCGCACGTCCGTTGTACAGGACTCGCCACCGTGCCGTCTCTTGCTCCATGATTGCCTACTGGACCAACTTCGCCAGAACTGGGTATAATTCTGCAGACACGCGTCATGGGAACTTCATGATATCAAACAAACCTAAGTCAAACACTGAAATAGAAAACTAAAACAGTCTCACTTCAGTTGCCCTTTTTCCCTTATTCTGTCCACAGGGACCCCAACAAGGGAGAGTCGAGCGTGCCCGCTACCTGGCCTAAGTTCACCAGCAATGGACAGCAGTTCCTGGAGATCAATTCTAAGATGGACAACAACAGTGTGGGACAGAAGATGAGAATGCCTTACGTGGATTTCTGGACCAAGGTCCTACCCAACCTTCCCATGACCATCTCAGAATAACAACCTGTGCACCCGCAGTGTGGTCCCATAGATCTGAAGTATCAAATCAGTATTGGTCCATGAAAAAATGAATTGATCACAAACACAATTTACATTTCCTTAGTTTTATTTTGTGTTGCCCTCTTTAAATTCACAACAGGCTATGTACAGTAGTGCTAACCCAATTCACTTTGCATGTATGGAACCTTTTGGCTTTGTTTGCTTTTTGTTGGCTTTTTGGATGATAACAGAAGCTATTAGCCTTCTACTGAATACAATGTTGGTGTTGATCTTAATGTACAAGACGTTAATTGTTGTGCAGAAGTGTGCGTTAACTTCGTAATAAAAAATCAAATCAAAACGGACTAAAAATATGGATCTGTTGATATTCAGGCTGCAGTGCCAATTTGCTACCAGTTTATCTGCGTTAGCTAGAGCAGGGGCTCTCAAAGTTTTTGGGGCCAGGGACCCCTTGCAGGGGAGAACATTTCCCAGGACCCCTTCTTAATTGTAACACTGATTAGGCATACGCTTACTACCATTTGTACTCTTGGATTCCATTGGAACTATGTGTACTCTAAAACCTTTCCACCTTAATACTTCAGACCTATTTCATGATGATAAACAGAAACACATTTGTTAGAAAAATTCACGCGAGACTGGTGTAAAAATCATTAAACAATGGATATTTATTCTTGCAAGAAGGAACAGAGTTGAAACACAGACAGGTTATGCATCAAGGCTGCTCAGAGGTCTGCCTCTGAGCTCTAAGCATTTATACTTGTAAACAAGCAAGGAATGTCACAGGGTAATTTATGATAAGACATCTGCCACTAAGGAAAACACTCACACAACCACTGTGCTCAAATCACAAAGTCTGGTTGAACAGTTTGTTCCAGCCTTAGGGTCACTTTCTCGTAATCAGGAAGTCTTGGTAGCAAATCAACAAGGTGTAAGTATTGACGCCTTCACAGGTTTATTATGACTTATTTAGGGTAAACAGCTTGAGATGTTCTTTCGACCGACAACTGCTTCTTGATAGCTTTACCTAGTGTCAGTGAAAGTTCCCACAAGCACAGATTTTTAACACTTACAGAGGACATGAGCCTCTGTTTAAATGCACACATTCACTGATTATTTAAATGCATAGTAAGAGTCATTTAGATTTTTCCCCAACAACATTTCAATTTGAATCATGTTGCATAAGATGAAATAATCCTTTATTAGTTCCACAGCTGGGAAATTTGCAATGTTATCAAAAGGGTTAAACCTTTAAACAGACGGGGATTTTATCCAAACTGTCATGATCTCAATCGTCTAAAGTTGACTTTCAGTCAGTGCTTCAGCTTACAAATTAATTATTGATATGTTTCGCAATCATATCAGAGTTTATATTGGTCTAAAGCTAACATAGGCAGGAGTAATGGACACAATATTGTTTTATTGGCGCAAATGTTCTCCATCTGTAGATATGCAGATTTTTAATGATACAGCACAGTTTTATTATTGTAGCAAATTATTTTGCGGACCCGGTGTCAGACTGCCACGGACCCAACTTTGAGAATCACTGAGCTAGCATACAGTGAGCCTAATTTAGGCAAGTTTACATATGATGACAGTTGTTGTTTAAGGCAATGTGCTCAGTAAATGTCTTAACAGGACGAGGCAGAGGAGAGAATTTCTCCGATGCAAATTGGGAGCTGTTTTTCTGTATTAGTACACAGAGGAGCTGGAGCAGTTTCAGACAAGGCTCTTCAGCAGTCCCAGCTCTAGACTGCTTTCAATGGGGGTGCAATAAGATATGGGCTGCAGTTGGAAAGTCCAAAAAATGTTCAGCTATACAGTCAGCATGCCATTATATTTCCCAGCACCGTATTCTTCAAGGAACAGACAGGTTGTTGTGTTTGCTGATATATTAGTTACATACATTCTTTGTTTAACATTGCTGCATGAACATTAGCATGCAGTGTCTATATATCATTATCTTTGTAGCTAAATAGGTAGACTTATTTTGTAGCGATGCCATTGTGACCTTTGTGCTACAGACCGACCAATTAAAAACAGAGCACTCATTTCATTAAAATATGAGTGCCAATAAAAAGTATTCTTGTTTTTCTATTGATCAGGGTGAAAAAAAGCCGCATGAAATCTACATTCGATGTTGTAAAACATCAAAACTTCCAAGGGGGTTGAATAATTTTCATAGATACTGTTGTGAAAGTTCTCAAATCTGTCTCTTGCAAAACTGTTGGCATTGTTGCACGCTCTGCTGATATTTACTTTACTACCATCACTCACTGACATGTTCTGTTGTCAGTGGAGGGCAGAAGCATTTCATTGAGAGTTTAACTGAGATCAGGCCAGTCTACTAAAAAGCATGTGCTCACGTTGCTGAGAATGTCGGCTGCCCCACTGACGACCGGATGACGGCCTGTCTGAAATCCACTGATGCTAGGACTCTCACCATGGCTGCTCCCCGCATTACACAAGGCTCCCCAGACTGTGAGCATCATTTTCTGCTTATCTTTCTGCTTGAATTAGAATAACAGACAGCCTACATGATGATGTAAAATGTATTACGTCACTGGTGAGTAAAAAAGTACCATGCAAATATGTGCAGGTGAGGCACCACCTCAGTATTTCTGTCCCCCATTTCTCTCAGATCCCGGTGTGACAAACCTGCTTCTGTCTCCTGTTGTTGACGGCGACTTCCTCCCCGATCAGCCCGCCAACTTGTTCCACAACGCTGCTGAGGTCGACTACCTCGCAGGGGTCAATGACATGGACGGACACCTCTTCACCTCACAGGACATTCCTTCCCTTGGTGACAAGAATCAAGAGACTCCCGTGTAAGGCTGCTTTGTCTTCAGAGGGAAGGCATTTTGTTTTGTGGACCCTTAAAGTTAAACCATGAGAAGAAATGTTGAAAGACCAACAAGTCTGGGCGTATACCTTCTCCTACCTGTTCTCTGAGCCCAGTTTGATGGCCGGACCAGGCAAACCCTACCATGACTGGGTGGGAGCCGACCACGCTGATGACCTGCAGTACGTGTTTGGCAAACCCTTCACCACACCAAAGGCTTATGGGGACAGACACAGAGACCTGTCTGGCTACATCATTGCCTACTGGACTAACTTCGCCAGAACTGGGTAAATGCATGTGCAACACTGAATTCTTAAAAAACAAACAAAACAAAAACAGTAACAGTAAGGGGGTAAAAAAATGAACATGACACTTTATAAACTCTATTACAAGTTTTATGAAACTGTATGTTTAAATATTCAAATGAGGCCATTATCTTATTAAATGTGCTTATTTGCACATTTCCAGAACCGAAATCTGAACATTGGATAAAGCCAGGTTGAAAATTGTTGACATATCAGAGCCAAAGTTTTTTACAGAAAGAATTTTAGATATCTCTTTTTATCACTCCATAAATGAGAATACTTTTTTACTAAAATGTTCTATAAGTCAGGCTATGCATGATATATGAACAAACCTCTCTTTAAAAACCTTTAGAACATAGGAATGAAACTGTAAAGTTTGGTGTATGTAAGTGCTATTGAAGTGGAGGTTTCTGGCTCAGATTAGGAGAATAAAACTCCTTTAGAGAAAATAGTCTTTAAACATATGGATTGTAAAATTACATTCATTTTGAAGACACTACAGGTGATAAGGGTAAAAATATTTAATTAACAGATATCACCATGAAACTTCCCCAGTTGATAACTAACATTAAGATGATTATTTGTTGTATTACAAGTTTTCTAAAAGTTTGTTTAAATACGCAAATGAAGCATTATCTAATGGTAACTTTTGGTGAATTTAGAAGAAATATACAGACGCAAAAAGACAAAGTAAAATAAACACCTGAATGTGTATTTTGAATAGTCTGAAAGAACTTTTATGGAACCAAAACAGTGCAAAGAATCTCAAAATTGACCAGTGCAAACATGGCCTGTGGTGTCTCCAACGAATGGATCCTTTCTCATGTGTCTCTCCTCTTCTTCTCACAGAAACCTAAACAAAGGAAACCTGACTTGTGACCTGGCCTGCATTCAGCACTGAACCACAGTTCCTGGACATCAATGCTAAGATGAACGAGAGCTCCACTGGATGGGACATGAGACTATGTTTCGTTCGCCTTTGGACCAGCACCCTTCCCAGCCTCCAGTCACATGATGTCCCAGATGCTCAGTGATGCATTTTTTATGTTTAAAAAAAGACACCATTTATACAAATAAAACAGTGTGCAGAAAGATATTACACATACTGTATCTTTATGTATCTAAAAGCTGCATTAATAAATTGTAATTTTCTTACTTATGCAGGAGAACAAGAGGCTCCTTGTTATCAGGAGGATTTTTAGAAGATGGCATGAAAAATACAGTGTATTTTATTCATTATGTAGTTGTCAAATAGTGCCCTGATTGTGTCAGTTATACAAGTTGATTAAAAAGTGATTAGTTTCCTTATCTTTTACAGATAGTAAGATACATTTTCATGGTCATTTAAGTATGCTATATTTTTTACCAGTGATTTTTAATGAAATGTTTAAAGAGACATTACTGGAGTAACTTGAGGTTGCAGCAAAATAATGATTTTATGAATAAAAACCACCATTGCAAATAGAAAAAAAAATATTATTATAAAGATAATGATTTGATTCCCGCTACTGGACACAACTAGAGAAAAATATTCGTTTAATTTAATTCATAATTTCACCATTGCATAGAGTCAAAACTATCACGAAAGGAACAAGTTGATGAGTTGCCACCACTGCACATAACTAAAATAGAATGCTATACACTTTTAAATTTGACAGATTACATGAGACACATTCTGAATTTGCCATTAAGTAATCATTGTGTTCCTGGGGTTTGACAGGAGGAATAAATCAGGCCGTTGTGTTGATATGATTAAAACAGTGTCAGTCTGCTAAATAATCCTGTCTGAAAGAATCCTTGATTTTGTGGAATAAGTGAGACGCACACTTAAAGAATCAAAGATAATCTTGGTGCTTTTACTTTGAAAACATTTGCACTTGAACTGATCTGATCTCGTGTAATCTCATTAAGTAGGCTAAATACAGGTAACCAGGCCGATAGAAGCAGAGACAAAAGAGGAGGGGGCTCCAAATTAAAAGTTCTGCCCGTTGCCAGTCTGTCCTAGGTGTGGCTCCACCAAAGTGGCACCTCTCGTCTCCAAACCGCCCGGGCGACATATTGATGTCACACCAGATGCTCATGATAAACTAGCCTTAAGAGGAACGGACACCGCAGAGACTCACTAGACAGTAAGAGCATGTCCACTGGGAAAGTGGCTGTCATTATTGGACTGGGAGTAGCTGCGATGCTTGTCGTTCAAAGTGGAGACCCGCTGGACTCGGTCGGCCACGGGTCACCGGTGTGGAGCGAGACGGGGCTGCTCGCGCGGGCTGCGGTCTGCGTCATCGCCGGAGGTTCCCTGCTCGCCGCAGGCTGGCTGCACAGGCTGCTCTTCGGTCCCCTGGTGGTGCTCAGGGGGCCCGATGACGTGGGGTACATCGCCGAGGACGGTCGCACCAGAGCCCAAGCCGCAAACGAGGTCCGCCAACGGAGGAAAACCGGAGAGCTGCCCCCGGTCTATCCAAACGGCTGGTACCGAGTGCTGGACTCGCACAGGCTGCAGATGGGCGACGTGAAAAGTGTCTCTGTTCTAGGTATGGTAATAGTGGTGGATGCATTAACGGTACTACTTAAAGCAATAACTAAAGTAACCAGCTGCCACACTATTATAGCGTAAAGTGTAGTATGCTGGATAAACATGACCCCTGGTAGACACCAACGTAGCAATAATACATTGTATTTTATTTTGAAAAAAGGGAAACATTTTACTGTAACAAAACAAATAATAGGTCTATTTGTCAGGCTCTCCAGAAGCCATTATAAATTGAAGATGCTGACACTGCACCCCTGTTTACATGAGCTGAAGTGTGATGTCAGCTATGAGAGATGCAGACAGGTGAGTTTAGTGAACCACCAGCTGAGGGAGAGGGAGAACCCAGACCTTTCTGTCCCATTGCCCCTGACTATGGGAGTCTTTTTTTACTGTGGTTCAGTCAGCATAAGGATTGTGGGATATAACAACTTATTGTTCCTTTTATATTCCTTTACTACCATAACCACCACATGACCTCAATAGGCAGAGTTGTGTTAAAGGACAGTCAGAGATCTCAAAATCATACCTGGACATCCTATCATTTTTGCTATGTTTTTAAGATGTTAGTATAGGCATCCTTTGCGATTGATTTGAATTGGCTGTTGAAGTTTCACTCTGAGTTCACGATCACACTGAGATCTCATGCACAGGTTACAGGCATTAGTCAATAGTTATGAGTGTCCCTGAACCCTTTCAAAGTCACCCAGTATGAACTGTTCTGGATAATAACAGAGAGTATGAGCTGAATTTCCAAAAAGTAAAATATCATGCAAATGTGAATTCAAATGTCACACAAATCAGCTACCATATAGCTAAAGCTCATTCAACACAAACAAAATAGTGTAACTCTCAGGTGCACTGAAGACATCCAACTCAGTTAATGTGATATTTCTTAAATTATCTTGAATATGAATGTACATTGTAGGATGAGCAAGTGTTAATACAGATGATTCCCCTCTGATTATTTTTAAAAGATGTATTGTAATTAAGCACTTTTTAGTTCTGTAGTTTATTTATTTGCCACTGCTGACCTTTCTACAACCTGGATGTTTGTCTTTTCACCGCATCTCTTGATGATCAGTGTTGTGAGGCTGAGTTGCCAGGAGAGCCAAGCATTTAAAGTATACTTTAGAAACACAATGACCTAATGTCCTATGTTGGAGTAGATTAGCAACAAGTGCTTAGTAACGCTTTGCTCTTTTTAAACAAAGGACTCATTGTTTCAGAATGAGAATCAGCTTTATTGGCCATGTATGCATACGCATACATGGAATTTGTCTCCGGTTTCCACTCCGCTCTCAATGTACAAACACAAATTTACAATAAACAAGAAAATAATATGTATAAAGAATAAAAAAGGGCAGCAAAAAAGTAGAACAGATGTAGGTATAAACATTTAACAGCTATATACATTATAAGTATCAATATATATCCAAAAGAAAAAGTGTATATATATATATATATATATGTACACACACATATGAAACCTATAAACAATGGCTTTCAGGTCAATCAAGCCTTAACCTCTTGTTTGATTTGACGGTGTCATGGAGACGAAAGTGCTTATTGAATTAGGACATAAGAGCAGTAAACTTGCAGCTAACGATTATATGCATTATCATTTAATCAGCTGATTCCTGATTAATCTTTTTAGCTGATTAACGTTTTTGTCTCGGCTGTAAAATGTAAATTAGATTAAGTAAAATAGGGAAATTAGAAATTCCCAGAGCTAAGGCGCTGCCTTCAAATGTCTCGTTCATAGCCTTTTACTATTACAAGTAAAGGACAAAATGATTATATACAGATAAATCTAAGTATACTGAAGTCTCCTATGATTGATTTAAGAGCATTAGCTGCCCTCTTTGTCTTTGTGTTTATAGTGATCACGCATCAGGCCTCTATGATAATATGACGACTCCTCATTCACAGCTTTAAAACTTTTAATATTTCATATTTACGTCTCTGTGACTCATATGTAGCAGCTCTGTTACACAGTTTAAATTGATATCACATATATCGATTTATTTCTGCAAACTTTCATCGAGGTGCGCCATTTAAAACAGATACGTGCCTCCCATTTTAGATCTTTTATTCTCGTGTTGACATGCAGAGCGACTGTTTCATCTCTTAAGAGGAGTTCTTTGAGTTGGAGTTCAAAAAGGTTTCAAAGAGCGTGTGGGCGCTTTCATGTTTCTGTCACATCATCACCCGCCATAAATGAATAAACGGTGTATGAAAGGTTTTCTACCTGAAAAGGACATCCACCAGCCAGAAGGGACACCTGCTCTTGCAGAGAGAATCAGCATACACTACAGCTAAAACCAATGCTATTTCTTTCACCATTTAATCGAAAAATAATTTTAACATTTCCAAAAAATGTCCATCACATGTTCCCAACTTGTTTTGACCATATTGAATCACTAAAAAAAGTAAGACAAAAATAAAGAGACAAGCAACAAATCCTCACATTTGAGAAGCCATTACCAAACTACTATTTCCACAGTCAAGAATGAACTGTCACGCTTACTATTACCTTACATTTTAAGAGCCATGCTCTCATGTTGCCTCATTGGCTGCTCTAGATATCAGAGTTTACAGGAAGCACCAGTGTAGCGGCCACTGCCAGGTCTGAGAAGTGTAGCCAGAGCGGAAGTGTCTGAAACGTGTGCTGAATGATTTCTATTGCTAGTTTCAAGCCTACCTCAATACAGCATGATGTTAATTATAGTTCCATTTAGAGTAAAATAGAGCATAAAGCTGCGTATGCTTTATGGCCAACCTTGGCTACCTTGTGATTGATAGGTCGCTAACTTGGCTTTGTCCGGTCTGGGACTTGTCTGTGTTTTCCTCTTACAACTTAACCCTTTCACAGTGTGTTGTCAGGTCACGAAAGTTTATCGTAACATTTTGGTTGCCTACAAATATCTTATTCAGCGTTCGGTTGTGCGTTCAGGTCTACCCTCTCCTGTTCCTTCGCCGTCTCACATTCTGTTAACGTCATCACAGCAACTCATTCCAGGAACTGCATTCTACTGTGGATGTCTGCAGTGTCTCGTTCCTAACTTTACTCTGCAGTCATCTATTTACATCATATATTAAATTCCGCCTAGTTTGTTTTTTTCCCCCCGGCGCTGCTCTCACACATTGCACCGTGGTCCAGTTCTGCCCCACAACAGTCTGTGAGCAGCAGTGCGGTGCTGTGTCACCCCTCATTAGATGGGCCTTATTTTGGATTTCTAGGCACTGCTCGAGCTGGCTCAGTGGTTACTGCAGTCACCCAAGCTGTGCTAATCTGGGAGTAATCCAAACACTCCAGTCAGCCAAAGGTCAAGCCAAATACAGAGAAGTACTATACAAAGTGGGTTCCCAAACCTACTTTACTGTGGCTGTAATCTACACCTGTAACCCAATCTGACCAAGTGTGATCACCTAAAGCAGTGACTTCTTGACTTTTTGCTGCTTATCCTTTGCAGAAGACAGTTAGAAAGTGGATCGAAGGTGGCAAAAGTGGTAGACAGCAGTGCACATCGACTGCTTTACTCTAATTGTCTTGTTTTCTCCAGAGAAAAACGTATGAATCATTTCAAAGATGCTAAAATCACATCAAAATTCTACTCACAGGGTTTTTAATTATTGATGAAACATTAAAGTTTTTTATACTACCAACAAGAAACACATTAGGAAAAGTGAACAGTGTATTAACATCTGTGGCAGCATTTAATTAAGAGTCTGGATGTTCTCTATTTAAGTCAAAATAAACTGTTTTGGGCACCAGTTTGTTTGTGACAGCCTTCTTCATCATTTAGCCACAGCAGTTACAGCTTGTTTTGAAAGTTTACCTCAGCACAGCGACAAAGGGTACATTATCTCTCTCTGTCAGTGACTTCAGGAATAGTTGCTCTGGGTGCAGGCTCATCCATAAATATAATTGGAGGAACCATGTTCTAAGGAATATCTATTCTACATGGATGGTTGCTGAATGCTTATCTTTACATTTAAAAAACAAATGTATTTTTTGTGTGGGGATTGTCAGTGAAATGCATCAAGAAGTTTTCACGTGATAATTTATATTAATACTTTATCCTCAAATACGGCGTTTAACATAACCACTGTAATTCGAAGTGGCAGCTCATTCATGAAAATGTTTTTTTGTCCCTGCTGTAATTAATCGCCCTATAGGTGAACAGTTGGCAGTGTTTCGGGGCCAGGATGGGAAGGCCTACGTGGTGGATGCCTACTGCCCTCACCTGGGGGCCAACCTGGCCGTGGGAGGACGGGTGGTGGGAAGCTGCATAGAGTGCCCATTTCATGGATGGCAGTTTCGGGGGAACGATGGCAAGTGCGTGAGGATCCCCTATGCAGAAAAAGGTAGGAACTGAAGGTGGTGTCCAAGGATCTTTATTTGTTTTAAAAGCATGCATGATAGTTAGAAATGACTTGCAGTGTCACCATGTCTCAGTGCGTTGGTACTTTGATTGGGTGAGGGATTCTCAGACTAATAAAGATATTTAAACACAAACATCTTACACATTCATTATCTCAAATAATGCACATAATTCCGGCCGCTGGAGGACAGAATCCTCTCTACAGTTGAACCCAATCGTTCACCTGCTTAATGCTAATTGCAGACAGGTGTGCTTCAAGCCACTATATAAGGCCCTCACTTAGAGCTGCACTTCATTTTGCAATCCATCCTCCATGCATTGCTTCCTGATCATGTTATGCTTATCTGTTTATTTGCATTTCTTTTTTCAGTTTATTGTAATATTTTAAGATAAGTTTTAATTGTGTTTCAATCCAGCTGGTGATTGTTCTGCACTGCAGAAACCATGATTCTGGATAGACAATAAAACCTGTTCTGGTCAATGTCTCTTTAATTTGAGAACCTCAGGCGGCCAGCTAAGTTTGCAGAACTTAGAAGACGAGTTTACCAGTTAGTGTTTCTAAAAAAGACTAAAAGTTCAAAGCCTTGCTAGTAGCTAGTGGAACAAACAATATCTTGATATTTATGATGTTTTCAGAGTCGGAGTCAGTCAAACACAAACTCTGTCCTGAGGGTGGTGCTACAGGTTCTCCTGTGACAGATGTCTAATGTAACTAACTCATAACATTCTGTTCTGTGTGGTGGCGCAAGAGATGCTAATATTTTTTGTGTAGCATTGGAAATATGGTGTACATACATTTGTGTACAAAGTTGACAATTCGGTCATAACGTGGCACCAGAAGAAAGCTATAGGAGTGCCCTTAATGAAAATGTTTCATCCTCTGAGGAGCATGAATGTGATCACTTAATAAACTGACTTTTGGATTCATTTTTTAAATGGTATTCAAACACTAAGCTGAAGTTGTCTTACCAAAAGTAAATATTCATATGTGAATAGACCGTGGTGAAACCTGATATCTACTGCAGCATGATGTGGATTGTCAAAATCCACATCACAACCAATTTCCCTGTTTACATGTGGCCTAAAGAGACTGCGTGGTTCAGAATTTGTTTTCATTTGTCCTTCAGTGCCGGAGTTTGCCAAGGTGCGCTGCTGGCCCAGCTGTGAGGTCAACGGCCAGATCCTGATTTGGTTTCACTGTGACGGAGAAGATCCTCAGTGGACCGTCCCAGAGCAGCAGGAAATAACAAAGGGCCAGTGGGTCTATCGGGGGAGAACGGAGCATTTCATCAACGCTCACATAGAGGTAGGTGCAGATGTGAGTGGATGCGTTTTTACATGAAGATGTTTTAAATTTGTTCGAAGATGAAAGACAATTTCTTCGATGTTTTACTTTATCAGGTGAGACTACTGTTTCATAAGCGATCAATGCAGAAAATATGAACTGCATTTTTCTCTTACCTGTAGTGCTGTTTATCAGTCGAGATTGTTAATTTGGTGCGAGTTGCCTTAATATACACTTGAAAAACTCAGCAGCATCTTATCTTTCCAGAAATCATGACATCATCTGGGGATTATCTTGAGTAAGGGGTCTTAATTTCTGGAAAGAGACATCGCTTATGAGTTTTTCAAATGTGCCATTTAGTCCCATTATGTTCAACATAAGGCAAACATCTCAATGGCCGATATCTCTAAAACTAGGCGACTCACTCCAAAACAATCTAGATTGATAAATAGCCCCACAGGTAAGAGTACAAATGTGTATTTTATTCATTTTGGGGTGAACTGTCCCTTTAAGTACAGAGATACATTGTCCTTCACTGTTGCTGACCATTAGCTGCCTCCTAGTCTTTCCTTTCAGTCGTACATAGATTCAGTATCTAACTCCCCAGCCAGAGAAGGGGCTTTTCTTACCAAACTTTTAACACAATTCACGAAAATGGGTCATGATGACATCTCTCCTCTGTAGGAGATTCCTGAAAATGCAGCGGACATCGCTCACCTCGCTCACCTCCACACGCCGGCTATTGCCAGCGGAGTAGATCTGCGTTACACCAACAGCAAAACCTGGGAATTTTTGCGGCATGACTGGAAGGTAAGGAACTTTCTCAACTAAAAAATGCTCCACATGGTGGCGGTGGTGCTTCTACCATCCACACAGTTTCAGGGAAGCCAAACTTTCTTTATGCTATATAATGGGATTAAGATTTTAAATTGCCACAGAATATATTTATTTTGAACAGTGCATCTCTGTGTCTGAATGCCACTGTATGCACTTTGACTGTGCGCGGACATTTGTGTGTCTTATTCAAGGTTCAGTGGGAACCAGAGTCGGAGCCCAACAAGCATTGTTCTCAGATGTTGGTGAAACACGCGCTGACTGTGTTTGGATGCCACTGGCCACTGCTGGATGTTGGAGTTGTGGCCAGACAGGTACGGTAAAGACAACGCTGACATGGCTCCTGGCTGTTTTGGAAGGATTTTTCTCCGTGCAACTTTTAAGCGTTCATGAAAACAGTACAGAGCCCAAAGGACGTGAACTGTGTGTTGTAACAAAAGCGGTTATGTAGCACCTCGATGGGCTGGACTCATGCAGGTACAGCTGAGAAAAATGCTGAACCGATGCAAAAACAACCACCACATGCTTTAGTTGTGGCTGGGACTGTGCACCGACTGTGCAGTCTGTGCCTTTTCATCTTGCCGAGTGAATTATATATGATAAATAAGTGTTCCCTGAAACCAATCTAATCTCCCCAGTTAAACCTGTTGCAGAGGGCTGCAGGGGGAGAAGGATCCCTACACTAATGTTGCTAAGACATAGTTACTCTAATGCGGGCGGGAGTGGGTGGTTAGCAGCATTATCATGCGATGAAATTAGATACATGACTGACTACGAGTTGGTTATTATTGGGCTTCACAATGCATGTAAAAGCATTGTTGTCCAATAAATCATCGACGTTCAGGTCCGATCAACACAATGTTGTTTTTTAAGCATTACATATTCTGTAAGATGGGTTTGATGTTAAAGTTATTACTAGGAACTTATATATAACAGTCTCAATTTAATACTATATGACCTTCATAAGTAAACCAAACCATCGGCAAGAAGATTGACAGGTATTCTCAATGCTTGTCATCGGTGCTACCAGGTCGGATTTTGCGCAAAATCAGGTGAAATCATGCAGGTTCACCAGAAACTAGATCGTATTGCTGGGCCCGCTGACTAGAAGAGAGCTCTGCAGAACCACCAATGAGTGTCACAAACTGTCAGAGCCTGCTGCAGTAAAATGAGAGGTTTTCTAAAGGGACTCTGGTGCTCGCAAGTTCTTTGTAGTAGCTTCAAATAACTGAAAATATATTTGACTACCAGCCTAAATTGATGCAAATGATAAATACATTTTGTTTCAGGTGGGTCCAGGAGTGGTGTTTCTGCTGTTTGACCACAGCTTCTTGGGTCGGGGCGTTATCTTGCAGTGTGTGACTCCAGTGGAGCCTCTGCTGCAGTGCGTCTCTCACACCATCTTCTACCAGTCTAATATCCCGCCTCTGGTGCCCAAATTCATCCTCAAAGCAGAGTGCATTCAGGTGCAGTACGCTCTCACCACCTACTATCACTGTCACTACAACAGTCCTTCATAGATCACTGTTACGTTTAAAATTCAGCATTACTCTGATGTGAAGAGATCATTGTGTGCATTTGCCTCCCACTCTGCCTTTGGGTTAACTCTGCCTCCTCATTGCCACCAGAAGTAACACCACACAGTAACAGAGAAGGTGTAAATAGCCCTCATTAAACTTGATAATTAGCTGTGTGGCGAAGTGAAACAGCAGTCACTGATTTAACAGAAAGGAAAACTAATGAGTTGACTTGAAAGATGGAAGTATCTTTCTGGATTATAACGGATTAACAAGACACACAATTCGATTCAACACAGAAAACATGACAAATGCCTATATGAAGAGCTTATTTACTATTTTTGAGAAATATTATGCATGTGGTATTAACTCAAAGTGCTACAATGTTGGAGGACATCTGTAGAGGTGGAGTGCGTACGGAAATGCCAAATCTCAGCAGCGGATGTAGTAACAGTGTGGAGTGACATTTAATCAACACTTATCACAGAAATAAATTACAATACATTAATGCAACAAGAGAGTAGAAAATACAGATTGCTTTTTAGTCACTATTTAAATCTTTGTCCTGTTTAAGTTTATAATGGACTTAAAGTAGTAAAACAAGTCGATCATGAATCACGTTTGTTAATTAATATTCATGTTTAGCCAGTGTGTGTGTGTGTGTGTGTGCCCTTTGTCACAGCTTTTTCTGAAATCCTAATTTACAACTACGTCCAGTGACCTTCTCCTGTTTTCTTCTTTGTGTCTAGTTTGAGCGCGACGTGATGATCTGGAACAATAAGAAGTACATCTCCAAGCCTCTCCTCGTGAAGGAAGACTCAGCCATCCAGAAGCACAGGCGCTGGTTCAGTCAGTTCTACAGCGAGAACAGCCCGCGGCTGCAGTACCGGCATGACACTTTGGACTTCTGACCTCCTCGAACTGCAGAGAAGATGTCAGGTCAGGGTTGACATTAATCAGAGGTCCTCGAGGAGAGAGTCCAGGAGTGATTTTTTCTTTTCTTGAATCTGTCACATATAATAAGTGACAGGAGGGAAGGAGACCTGACTTGTTTGTGAGAAAGGGGCTCTCTTGAAAGCCGGAACCTTACGCTAGCCCTCACAACCTCCTTTTCTAAGTCTTACTGAAGTGGATGATGTGACTTCCCAGCTTTATACACGCAAGTGCCAACAGCCGTCATGTCGCATGGTTGGACTGGTCGAACTGACTGAGTGGGTTCAGCCCATACATGTGAGATTTTGGTGAACCAGTGCTAATATACAAAGCAAGCAACACTAAGGAAAACCACTGTCGCATCGCTGACAAGACTTATTCTCAGAAATCTGCAAAAAATGATAATTCCATATACTGTGATGCACATATAACCACTAACTTTCTTGTGTGATCTGCTCCAGCAGATTTTGTTTTCTGTCTGTATGTTTGATACGGGTCAATTTAAGCCACCTGACTCTAGTTTGAGTTCGGTGAGAAGTCTCACAATACCATGATTTGAGATCAGTTTCTGTCTCACTTTGGCTTTTATCTGCGTTAGAGAATATGAATAGGCCTTTCCAAACTGTAAGTTTAAGTCTTTAGTGTTTAGAGTGTGATCACACTGGCCGATGCCTCAGCCACGAGTTTAATGGCAGGTGTGTTTGTTTTCTGATTGATATCTCAGAAAACTCAACAGCTGGCCGATAGCGATTTTGATGAGAGTTAACCAAAACAGTAAAGCTGCAGGCTAGCTTTATCCTTTTGAGCTACCACCTTCACATTTAAGCACTATAGTCATCCATTGACATGATGCTACTATTGATTACTGCTGCTTGAACATGAAGGATGTCGGTCACTTATTCGCTCACAAAGGGGCAAACAAGCATATTTATACATTGTTGAACTGTTCCTTTAACACGCATGATTGCGTCATATGTCAGCCTGATAATGATGGTCTTGGAAACAGAAGAATTATTGACCCAAATTGAATAGCTTTAAAAAAATTAAAATATAAAATGTTCCCCTTCATTTTAAACACATGAGACACTGAGATAAATGAATAGAACTGGGCCTTTGCAATATTGTAAAAGTATATTATTATTATTATTATTAAACGTGTGCTCCTGTTACTGCTATAACAGATCTGCGTGTATCAATATGCAGCGTAAACGATACTTCTTTTTGTTTACTCCCCGTTCACGTTGTCTACTCGTTACTGAGGTTCTGATTGTGTTGGATGACGTGGCATTACATTTTTAATTTCCGTACGATTGTCAGATGGTCACATAAGAGACACGACACCTTTCAAAGCAAACAACCAGCCGTGTTTAAAAAAAGCACCATGACTACCGGATGAACTCCCCTCCTCTGCTCCCTCTCAATGTTACAATGTGTTTTCTTTTTGTCTCGGACTAATCTACAGATGTACTGTTTATTTAAATATGCAGAATAAATCTGTCTGCCTCGCACTAATGTGTTCGCTCATGCATATCTCAACTTGCGAAAGCGTTCCGTGGCACTGAATGCGTTGAATGCGTGTTGAGTGGAACCATGAAACATTGACTGTACTTGGCCAGTGGCACCTCTTTGAGGCTCATATTGTTGCTTAGCACTCCTTATCTGTGAATATGCTTATCTTATCTGGGGTTTATGGTGGGAGAGGACTGTGCTGCCTTTGTTGTGCTGAAGCATTACATCAACATTGCGCTCACTCGAGCTTTTGTCAAGGCAGAAAGGTTTGCTGTAATAAGGAAACATGTTGAGCTTGTGTTAGAGCGGTGTTAGACGTGTGGAGCAGAGAGAAAACAGAACATATTTGTGTTGTGAAGGATGGCTGAGGCCGGAGCCGTTGCAGCCGAGCAGGAAGCCGTCGTTACACTGGAAGAAAAGCACCTGGAAGCTCCAGAGGACACTCGTGTCAGAGTTTTCTACACCGCGAGGGGCCAGCGAGAAGACAAGAGCGACTCAGTCACACAGCCTCTGCTTCGGGATGTTGTTTGTGATGAGAGTGACAAAGCGGGCATGCGAGCGGCGACAGATGGGGCCGACCGACTGACATCTGTTCCACAAGAGCTGGAATTGGCTGGCAGGGATGAGCCGGGCCCCAGTGGAAGTGTCAGGAGTTTGTGCAGTGACAGCAGCCGGCACGAGTGCCCCATCTGCAGCGAGCTGTTCGACCCGCGCGGAGGTCGCCGCGTGACTTTGCTTCACTGCAACCACACACTGTGCCACCACTGCGTGGCCGGCATCATGAGGCGGGCCAAGGACCAGAGCCGGCTGCGGTGCCCCTTCTGCCGACAGACCACCCCGTTCCCGCAGTGGGAGATCAGACGACTGCAGGAGGAGTCGTACTACGGCGGCGACGTTTACGAGCCCGGACCGGCCCCCGTCGCCACTCCTGGCCCTGAACTTCCGGCCGTCCCGGGACCCCCTCTGTGCTGCTTTGCTGTGGACGCGCACAGGAACACATGTTGCGAGTACCCGTCCTGCCTGGTTGAAGGACTGATGCTGGCGCAACCGCGCTCCCTCTGCTTCTCCGTCACCGCCCTGCTGCTGCTCTTCCTGCTGCTGCTGGGCGTCTTCCTGTACATGGTTGTTCCTGTCATAATGCTGTCCATACTTTTCACAAACGGCTAAGCTCAGAGGTCATCGTCAGTGTTTTATGAATGAACTGCCCGTCGACTGTTATGATACGGTCACAAATAAGTGACATTTGGGGAAATACAAGCATCTGCATGGTTGTCACTTCGAACGGGGAACATACAGTGTGGCTTTGAGGAACATGCTTTTCCTCAAACAGTTACTCTGCTATCATATGTCATTTGCACTTCCATTGTTTTATTAACCTTATTTATTTTCTTTCTTTTCACATGCCCTGATTATTCCAGACTCACCTTTGGACTGTATAACAGTCTTTTACTATAGATATCATAACTGGAAAAAGTCCAATTTGGAGTTGGCAAAAAGCTAACTTGACTCCTAAATAGGTTAACGTGAACGTTCACATGAAGAATTAGGTTTTAATTTTGTAAACGTATTGAAAAATAAACAGGATTTCGGCACCATGAAGTTCATCGTAGAACATTTTTTAAAATATCTCTCGAAGTGAAGGGTTCCAGTCTCTTATCAGTTTGTTCAACCTCTGACTTTCATGTTCTTTGAAGAGTACCTCTGATTTGTTCTGCAGGGTTTGGTGCCACGAATAAATGGAGGTTTGACTTTGGATCAAAACTCTTCATATCCTTCTGGGTCTCATGTTGACCTACTTCTCATCAGAACAGCTCGGATGCTCTCTGCCGTGACTGCTCCATATTCTTAGCAACAAAAAAACCTAGCTTGATCTCCTTTCATAGTGCGCATGAGGGAGGATTGGCCCGGCAATTTAATCCTTTATATCCATTTTATTTAAAGAGAGAAAGGAAAAGGGCAACGATGAAAGCTGGAATCTTCCTATTTTTTTTTTTTGTTGCTGGTGCACTTTCATGTTTGTCGCTATGTATCTGTGCTACTAAATGGATATATTACCATAGATACTCATATATGCTGGAGTCACTCATAGTGACAAACCCAAATAACATGTTAACGCTGCTCTCATCAGAGATCAGTTTAAAACCTCTGGTGAACCCAGTGCCACAGCCAGATATTTTTCTGGATGTACAGTTTATGAGCTGGACAGCCACACGACGAATGCTGACAAATGAATGATACTTTTCCTCCGATCGCTAAATGTGAGAACTACTAACCTGTTAGCCATTGCAACTTTAAAAGTGACAATATGTCAAAGTTGTTCTCAGTCTGCCCTCGCTGCCCCCAAGTGGACAAAAAAAATCAATAAAAGCATTAATTTGTGCAGCTTTAACAAATAAGTGCAGAGGAAAGCGGTAACAGTTTAAAAAATATCTATAATAATTGTCATAATTAACTATGTTGTAGTTCATGTAATGTAACAGAGCGAAATGTAACTTTTGTTTACATTTTGTGGACATTCTTGTGTTGGGCATTATTATTAGGTCTGCTTGATTTAATATATTACAAAAGAGGCAGTGTTTTTGATGCAGTTTCCAAGACTTTAGGTTTCCATTAGCATTGGTTGACTGGCTGTAAAGTCTAATGCCAATTATGAAACAAAGGTAACAGCCAAGACATGATTGTCCAAAATACATCAACCGTATTACTTATAAAGTACTGCTCCATAAAGAAGATCATGTTTTATATATCGCCTTGGGCACGCTGATGTACAGAGTCAATAACACCTTCTTGTGTTTCAAAATGCTGACGAGAAGGACGTGATGTAGTAAAAAAAGTGCTCGATGGACCACAGACTACACACACACACTCCAGGTGTGTTCCATATGCTTTATATCTGTATCAAACATTAACAGGACCATCGTTGTCTCTTTAGAATAACATGTCCGCCTGTGTTCCTGAGGTCTAATCCTCAGCTGACTCGATCGATTGTCTCAATTACTCAAGCAAGAGATTTGAAGCGGAACAGGCCTCTTTAATGCGAGACTGACAATTGATCCATATCGACCAGGCCTGCACCCCCCCCCCCCCACACAAGGCTTTGCAGCACGTTAGCTCTCGAATCTAAAATCCAGAATAATCGTTGTGTTCTCTGCGGCATGAATACTTCAGCTCGGGACGAGCAAGCAAGCGAGCACTGAGGGGGCTTGCACATCTATAATTTATGCGAGGGCTCCTCGCTACATGAGAAACACATCAGATAGGCAGGCATCCATCTGCACATGACTCACTGAGGCAAAGCATTTCCAAGAGTGTTTGTGTCAACACACTGGCAGAGCGTGACCTGTTTAGCTTCGGGCTTAGATCAGATAACGTGGCTGTCCAACCGCCGTGTGCATCAGCTCCAAAGTGACAAGCATATATTCAGTAGGCTATGGAGGCCAGCATATATTCATGTGGGAGCAAATGTGTTCCCGAAAAACGCTCTCATCGGACGCAAAGAGCAACACGAGGAGATGAAGACATGCAGTTTGCAGACAAACGTGCTGCTGTCGTGCTAAACGCTAAAGCATGTCAGAGTTCAAGTGCTCTGTCTGCTCCCCACCGCTCCCATTGTGTGTTCCATACGTGGGTGAGTCTTCAGTTAAAGGCTATTTTAACCACCTGAAATAAAACTTTAAAAAAATTAATTGAAATGACTTAAGTCTCTTTTTATCTTTCTTAAAAATGTCATACCAAGTCCTATAAAGATGCAGGTTGGATAACTGTGATTTCAAAAATGTGGATGGTTTATTGAGGCATTATCTAGTTGGGGGTACATGTTATGTTCCCTGGTGATATTAATATTTTAACTATTCATAACTATTTTCTTCAAACATATATTTTACCAATTTAGGGAAAACATATTCTGAAGTCAAACATTTGGTGCACACGGTTTCACTTAGAAACGGACCTCCTGCATCCTCCTGCATCTAATGTAACCAGCAACACAGGATGTCCACGGAGAGTCAAAAGAGGAGAAGTCACACATACATTCAGTGGGGTACAGCACATGTGCAGTAAAATCTGGTCTGCAAGGCGCCAACCTCCGGTTCTGAGAAGTGAAGCCAATGTGGAAGTGCCTTTAACTTGCATTCTTTCTAGTGGTCATCAGGGGGCGACTCCTCTGGTTGCAAAAAGAAGTCTATGAGAAAATGACTCTACTTCTCTCTTGATTTATTACCTCAGTAAACATTATAAACATGAGTTTATGGTCTCAATCTCTAGTTTCAAGTCTTCTTCAATACAGCATGATGTTCATTTAGCAAATGATGATCCATTTAGAGTCAAACAGACCATAAAGCAGGGTATGCTTTAGGGCAGGGCTACCTTGTGATTGACAGGTCACTACCAGAGTCGTATACGACACTCTGCATCACTCCTCCACAGTCCAAATATGGTCACTTCTGTTCACTGGTTGCAAAAAAACAAGATGTCGAACTCGAGGCTTCAAAACCTTAGTCCACAAACCAATGGGTGACATCATGACGACTAAGTCCACTTCTTATATACAGCCATATGGAGTGGACCCAAAAAAGCTCTGCCAGGCTGAGCACAACCTGAGCGGACACCACAACTTTATTTTCCGCGCCAGTCTGCAACAACTCTCCAACATCCCAGCTCCAGTTACACTGGGCATGTGCTGTACCCTATAGCTCAAGACCTTGTCCCAGCCTTCATTCCGTAGCCTTGAGGATGTCAAGTCTCTCAGTGTCGGCCATTTTGACTACATTCTGGGGATTTCTGAAAAATAGTTGATCAGAAATATCGCATTGTCAAGAAGTGTACTAATTTACCGTCGACTATGCTGGGTATATTAGTAGGTTTACATTTCTTTTATGATTCGAATTCAAATATATGTTTAAATTCAAGGTCAACCTGATAAAGACTCTCATGAGTAACATCGTTGACCACAACCTGTTTGTTAGAAAGCACATTACTATTGTACTTTTTTGTTTATGTAAAATGTACAGTGATGCTATAGTGTGCAGCATATTATAAACATTCACTGGCTGGTGTAGTTGTTGCAACAAAGTTATTTTTATTGAGAAAGCTGGTGCGCAGTGTGCTTATTAACTTATTTTCGATTGGCCCTTTTCACCATGACAGGAAAGGAAGGTGAGGAGAGAAATAGGACACACCTGGTGTGCAGGTGGAGGGTAAATCAACTAACCACAGCAGCATGGTGCAGGAGTGAGTGGTTAAAGGAGGAGATGTTTTGACGTTTGACATTTTTGCTCTAAAAACAAACAAACCCAATGTGACACACATGAAGTAAACTGAGAAGCAAGTGACCCGAGCTCCGGCTGGATTTCCTAAACTCCCTCGTAACAACAAGGCTCTGCTGGAGATACAGATCCCAGGAGCAGGTGGGATGAATGGAATCTTGTTCAGCTATACATCTTGGACCTGTTCGGTTTTAATTGTGTTGAGCCATAAAGATAAGTCTCCTTTATTGCCTCCTTTATAACTCTCCAGGCTTCTCCTTCCGAATTTCATTCCCCTTGATTTAATGGGCAGCACTTCTGAAACACACAAACGTCCCTCTTCTAGCCTCGCAGAGGACTGAGTGGGTGGTGTACGAGTCCGTATTACAATGTGTGGGCAGCAGCCCAAGAGTGTGTCCCTGTGTGTGTGGATTACTGGAGTGTAAATTCTGTGATCGTCTTTGTGTGCTGAAGACTGAGTCTTTATAGGACTCTCGTGTTGTGCTGCTCCTCCAGCAAACTTCTTACATAATGACTGCAGAGCAGATTGGTGGCTTTATTGATGTGTGAGTGGTGGAGGAGTGGGCAGGAGGAGAGGCTGAGGAGGGCTTTATAACCTCACTTAATGAGAGGTTCAGCACGCCGTCAGGGCCATCCAATAAGTGGTGAGATAACAAACTGGCAGTGGCAGGTATGCAGAGGGTGGGAAGGGAATCATTAGGTGCTCTGTTCAACACCATTCATTTAAGATTTATTGTCAGCGGTTTTGGATGGCGGCAGGGCCTTTTCTCCTCCCATCTGGTATTTTTGAGGCAGTGTGTTTAGTGGTTCCAGGATGTGAGGATGAGGGGGGGGAAAAGCCTCTGAAAGTGGATGTATCTCCAGAGGGACACTGTGTATCCAGTCAGACCAGCCAGCCTCACTTTCTCCAAAATGTTCACATGTTTCTCATGTTGCTTCAGCACTCTTATATAATGGATACTGATGTTTTTGTTTTTTCCTTTGAAACTTTAATATCGTTGTGTTCCCTTTTACGGGATTTCTTCCACGGCTTCCAGTTTCTTTTTAATTGGTTGATTTTGTGACTACAATTTTCTGCCATAACAGTTATTTCAATGTTATAACATTTTTAGTTCAACTGATGGATTTATTATACCTTTATGGTCTGAGAAAAGTCTCCTATATATTTGGTTAAACAATCCTAATCATTTGTTACAAACTTTTATTTTTGGACGATGGATCTGAAAATCAAGTGAACAGAAGTGAATTGAAAATGGAATTAATGTGTTCAGATGTTCTGAGATGTGTTCACAGTTCTGCTTTGTGTTGATAATAATGATACCAAACACATGCTCCATGCCAGAGGCCTGCTGTGGCCCCTTCACTTATTTAGTTACACGGTTTGTTGTTTTTGTTGCACAATTAAGTGTCCATACTGTCAAAATACAGCTTGTTCTATACACAATTCAGACTGAGGTGGGTTTCTTGCAGGAAGATGTTAAAATAATGTTAGAAGAAAAACTTATTTCTTTTAACAGCGCACACCTTATATAGTCCTTGTCTTAAGAACAGAAAAGAACCCTCAACAAATCATGTTTGAGACAAGCTCATTAAAGCACACAGCCAGCAGCTGATGACTGTTGACTTCCTCAGCCTTGTGATTAATTTATCAGCTCACTGCATCACGGAGAGACACCAGTGTTGTGCGATTTATAATTCAGAACACTGTTCGATGGTTTTACACTGGCCTCATTTCCCAAACACCCTTTTCAATCGCAGTTGTTGATATCCGCAAACACACAACACAAACACCCTCGGGGCAAAACTATTCAAATATTTGACTGTTAATAATCAAGATGAAATGATAAACGGCCGTTTGAGTGGTTCACACAACGACGTCCTCCTGAATATCTTTTTACCGTTTCATGTGTCTGTGCATGCTCGTTTTGTTCGAGTCATTTGTTTCGACGTTTCCTGCTGTGATGAACACACTCACTGTCTGCCTGTCAGGCAATATGTCCTCCCTGTAAAGATCCCTCTCGTGCATGTGTGCTGTAAAAAATTAATTAATAAATAAATCTAGTTTCCTTGGTAACCAGGAGATTGACTCTGCTCATGTACCTCGCTGCTCCAAACAGTTACCGAAACGCTCCAAAGCGCGGGGTCAGAGATTACACAACATCCACAACAATGCGTCTGCAAACACACACATACACGTACACATACACATACACACACACATACACGACAGACAGACGGACAGATGTGTCCGGCCGTGTTGAAGTGTGACGGCTGGATAGACGGACGCCACTGACATGCTGCTTGATTAATGAGCTATCCACGGAAGTCGGACGCAGAGAGCTATAGGTTACGCGACAAATCAGTCTCTGTCTCTC